AAGAGGGATCTTAAGGGACATCTCTGAATTTCAAAACCCTTTGGCATTGATGCTTTCTGAAGATCTTTTTCTGGGTCTTGAGCTAGGTGGATCTACCTCATAGGGCCCAGTTGGTGCCACACCACTTATAATTTCTGGAAATCACTAAAACTCTTAATTTTGTCATTTCTACATTTCTACCTAGGCTCCAAAAAAGGTTTGATGTGTTGGCTGAGAGAGTCCCCAAATAGCTTTTATTTACTGTGTTGCATGATCAGTGGATTTGCATGCTTTTCCTGCTTGAGCAGTGTGGGGTGGGGGAAGAGTGCAAGCTGCTAGTGGAACCACGATGGTGTCTTGGCAGTAGAGGTTTTGTTGTGGTCATATAGAATTTCCCTGTGCTGCCTCTTTGATACCCAAACCTGCTTTATGCGAGTAACTGATGACTGATGGGCTCTCATCCTTTATTTGGATGTGATTGACAGCCTGTTGTGTCTGTCGGTGTTCTTTGTTTTAGCCTTTCCCAGACTTCACCAGCTGTTATCCCTAGTCAGATGCTGGAAAAGCACTTGTAAGTTCTGGAATTTTTGGCTGGTGGCACCAGTTATTTGCTCTTGTTGTGTAGTAGTGTTCTTTATTTCAGATGAGAATTACTACCTGAAAGATTGTTTTATGTTCTCATAGAGCAAATTCCTGTTTTATTACGTCTGTCCTAAAAGGAGGCCTCTTCCTGATCACTGGTAAGACAGACATCTCTATAGGATGACTCTCCAGCAACATGTTTGGGGTGAAAAAGAAACCTGTTTTCCTTAACACAGGGAGGGGGGGGATAGGTATTAAGGTATTTTTAAATGTCTCTGCTTTCAGTCCACAGTAGTGTATACATGTGATTCTTGTCTGTGCAAAGCTCCGAGGATATGTTCATCTGTACCTAAAATGAGTGAGTCCTGAGACCCAAAAATGTTATAATTTCCATATGAAGGGCAGGTTTGCTACCAGCTTGAGTATAACATACTGTCCTTTTTTTTTTATGCTTCTTGAGCCACTTTTATGTTTTGACTAATTTTTAAGATGGCATAATGCAGAAAACATACTGCTTTAGGAGTTCCCTTCTCATTTCTCTTACGACCTATATCAATGATTCTCAAGAAGGGTGCTGTGACATACTTTTAAGGGTGCCACACAGTATTAGCCCTGTTAGGTGCGCGGACTTCTACACATGATTCACAAGGTAAATCTATCCATAGTGTCAGAAACCTTCTGATCTGTTGTGGTCTTTGAGTTCTTTGCACTGGAAGAACTACTTCATTATTTTTCCATAATCAAAAAGAGTGAAAGGGACGAGCTGGCTTTTTTTCAAGGTGTGCCTTAAATGTAAAAAGGTTGAGAGCCACTTATCTATGGTAATAGTCCCAGATGGTGGGCTGTGATGCTCACTTTTGTTTAATTCAGGCGAAATAGATTGCAATAATTTCTAATACTTTCTTGACTTGTCATCCAGAGCTGATGCTAATTTCAGCAGTTCATCAAGCATTTTTCACCTTCTGTAGGTTGTACAGGTTTTAGTCTTCCATAAATGGGAATGTGTAGAGATAAGTCCAATAAGAAAGGGTGTGCAACTATGCACTACCTGGTTTGAGTGATTGCATATTTAGATTCCTCATCTGGCTTCTCCACTTGTATGGAATCTTGGGTAAATAAGATTCTGAATGAAGGAAAGAAACAATGGGTGGTTGGTTGGTGGGTTTTTTTCCCCTTTCTTCCTTTCGCTACCTTACAATTTCATTAAGGGGAGGACTGGGGAAATTGGGAGGAGGTCTTGAGTGGAGTTCCCCAGGGCTTTGTCCTGAGTCTGGTATTGTTTTAATGTCTTTATTAATGATTTGGACAACAAGACTGAGTGCATATTTAGCACACTTTAGATCAGGGGTGAGCAACTATTTTGGCTGGAGGGCCAGGAGTTTTACTGACCTGTTGCAGGCCAGGTCAACATCCCCTCCCTTCCCCTCTACCCCAGCCACAGCTCACCAAAACTCCCTAAGTGGCCCCTGTGTGCAGCTGGCCATAGGTGGGTGAGGATAGGGCCAGGGCTGGGATTAGGATCCCGGGGCTATGACAGTGGGGGGCCGGGACGGCCGTGATCTGCTGCCTGCACGGCCCTGTGATGGACATAGGTTTCACAAGCAGGGGCATGCAGGAAGTGGCTCGTGGCTCTGTCCTGGGCCCTGACCCCATGCTGTCACTGCCCAGTGATCCTAGGGTCTCTATGGAGACTAGCTGGGACCTGCATGGGGAGTGGGATAGACAGGTGGAGCTGGGTCCAGGATCTTGGAGCGGTGACAGTGCAGAGCCAGGGCCTGCTGCAGAGCCACGATTGGCTCCCTGCTTGCTCCTGCCCACAGAACCTGTGCTTGTTGCAGGGGCGTGCAAGCATCATATCACAGCTCTGCCCTAGGCCCTGGCCCTATGCTGTCACCGCATCATGATCCCAATCCCTGGCCCTGCCTGCCTGTCCTGCTTCTGCTCCTGGATGATGCTTCCTGCCTGCCTGCAGCCCCATCCCAGCCACCCAGCTGCATGGTAGTATCTGCTGGAAGGAGCCACTGCTGGGGCTGTGGGAAAATGGAGTCTGGCTGCTGCGCCATCCTCGCTCCGCTATGCGCCCACGGGTGGCGGGACTGGATGCACATGTCATGGCTGTCCCCCCATGCCAGGGCCAGGTGGGGCCAAGGGACCCACTGTGGGCCAGACTAAATGCCTTTGTGGGCTGGGTTTTGGCTGCGGGTTGAATTTTGCCCACCCCAACTTTAGATGATGCAAAGTTGGATGAAATTGCAGACACTCTGGAGAGTAGGACTTGGTTTCAGAATGACCTGGATAGACTGGAGAAATAGTCCAGAGTCAGTTTAAGTGCAAAGTCCTGCTTTTGAGATGAAATAATTGCCAGTACAAATACAGACTGGGGAATGATTGGCTAGGTTGCAGTACTGCAGAAAAGGACTTGGGGGTTACAGTATAGCAGGGTGGGCAAAATATGGTCTGTGGGTCGGATTTGGCTAGCCAACAGGTTTGGTCCAGCCAGGTGGGTGGCCGCGAACTAACCGGATCTGGCTCCTGGGTGGCCAGTGGCTCCAGCCGCTGTGTGACCCCAGGCGGGCAGGAGAGTAACAGTACTTCCACCTAGCAGCATCAGGCATCAGCTCTGGACCGGGATGGGGCTTCCGCTGCAGTGGGCAGGTGGCAGCATCAGTTGTGGATGCTGCCAGTAGGTTCAGGAGCCCAGTTGGAGAACCTGCCAGCAGCATCCATAGGTGACGCTGCCACTGCCACCCTCCCAGTGTGGAGGAAGCTCCCACCCAGAGGCAGGGTTCACAGCTGGTGCTTCTGGCAGGTTCCTGGTCGGGGCTCTAGGCGGGAGCTTCCACTGCACAGGGAGGGTGGCAGCTGGAGGTTGTGTGTCCAGGCTTCTGAAACTATTGGAAGAGTCTACAGCTGCCACTGCAGCCTGCCCTCTGTGGTGAACTACAGCTCTGGCAGGTTCTGGAAGGAAGGGTAGAGGAGGGAGAGAGATGGATGTGGCCCTCAACAGGTCCCCAAAACTCATTAAGTGGCTCTTCAGTTGAAATAATTTCCCACCCTTGCAGTAGACCATAGGCGAAATATGAACCAAATGTATGCACTTGTTGCAAAAAAGACTACTGGCATATTGGATTGTGTTCACTGCAGTCTCTCTTGCAAATCAAGTGATTCTTCCCCTCTCTTCAGTGCAGGCGAGACCATATTCAGAGTACTTGGTTCAGTTTTGGGCCCCATGCTTCAAGGATGGGGACAGACTGGAAAGAATATATTGGAGAGGAGTAAAAATGGTTAGAGGCCTGAGAAGCATGACCAACAAAGAAAGGCTGAAACAAGTAGGGTTATTTAGTCTGGAGAGGAGAAGACTGAGGGAGTATTTGGTAACAGTTCAAATACCTGAAGAGCAGTTACCCAGAGGGTAGAGATGGGCTTTTCTCTGTGGCTGTAGGGAACATGACTTGGAGCAATGGCCTTGAATTGCAGCAGGGTAAACTTAGGTTGGAGATTAGGAGGAACTGGCTGACTGTGAGGATGGTCAGACATTGGAACAGGCTATGTAGAGAAGTTGTGGAATCTCCATCCTTGGAAGTTTTCAAGAGCAGGTTAGACAGATGCTTGGCTGGGATGGTTTAATTATGGGTGATCCTTCCTTGAGCAGGGGGCTGGACTGGGATGACCTCATGAGGTCCCTTCCAGTCCTGTTTCCCTATGGTGCTGGGGGAAGGCTGAGTAACCTGGAAATTTGCCACTCTCTTTGTAGCTGGTTAGCAGTGGCATTTGTTCCACAAGTGTGAATGTGCATAGGTGGCGGTCTTCAAGAGCCACTGTGGTTTTTATAGATAACAGGCTGTTCTTTTTTGAGTAAATAGGTTATAACAGGATTTGTGGCAAAGGATTCTTGATACTGAGCTGACCTAATTCTCATCAGTAAAACTCTTCTAAGCATTGTCAGAGGGGAGGGAAGCTTTTAAGGCTGGGAGCTTCTTTCTCCTTTCCTTTGACCATACTCCACAATAATGTTCTGCTATGGCTCAGGTAGTATGCGAGAGAGAGAGCAGCCTGATTCCAATGCAGAAAGGCTGTAAGAGGCCAGCTGAGCTTGTGGGTAATGATTTGGGAATAGATTAGGGCAAGGAGCTGCTTTAATTAAAGCACTGCCTCCCCATTCCCAGAGCATGTGTAAAAGTGCCCTTCATGTCTGTCCACGCCTGTTGTGATTCATTTTTGTAGGGCTTGAAATTCTGCATCACTTGGTGTTACAAATGTAATGTCTGTCCATGATCATGGATTTTTCTGGAAAGAAACAATATTGAAAAATTGCTTATCAACCTTAGCATGAAATCAGTTTTATTTTGAACGTTACTATAGCTAACTGTAATAATTTTAGTTGTTGATTTTTGAAAGAAATGTAATTTATTTTTTTTTCTTTCCCGTTTTTTTTAAAGGTCAAAATGGGTTTGTTGGTAGACTTGACAAACACCACTAGATTCTATGATAGAAATGATATAGAGAAAGAAGGGATCAAATACATAAAACTTCAGTGTAAAGGGTAAGCTTATTGCAACTGTATTAATATTTTACTTTTAAGTGAAAAGACTACTGAAATTAGTTTTCCTTTTGTTTTGTTCTTAACTTTTTCTCATGTTTTCAGGCATGAAGAATGCCCTACACCTGAGAACACAAAAACATTTATCCGCGTATGTGAGCATTTCAGTGAAAAGAACCCTTCAGAGCTTATAGGTGTGTATTTACCTTCTTTATTTTCATTAAATTTTGCTTCTTCATTGTCTTTTTTTCTGTTATCAGGTTTGGCTAATCTCCATGGTTCCAGGTAAGAACTAAATAAATTTCTATACCACAGTATTTGTGCGTATGGCTTTAGTGTAATGATGGCCTAAAGTACACTCTTACTAAAGTACACAGATACTAGTCTCATATGGCTGTATATATTAGAATTTAGAAGTAATTAGCTACCTTACCCAGACATGTATACAACTGCTTAAGTTGTCCATAGATTCTCCAGTTGTCCATGTTTGGAGTTTTCCTTAACTTCCATGGAAGCAAGTGAGTAATTAGGGCAAGGACTGTTATTTCTGGCCCTAAACCTCCTGTGGCATTTAATAAACAAGAAGTGCTATAGTGTTTAAGGCCATGGTGGGATTTATAAAGATCCTCTCAGAATTCATGGATTGTAAGGGGCTGGAAGGGACCTTGCAAGATCATCAGGTCCAGCCTCCTTGCAGTAGGCAGGAAAGACAACTGGGGTATAGATTCATAGATTGTAAGATTCAGAAGCAACTAACAGCACCGTTCGTGTTACAGTACAGATTTGGTCCCTTCAATGGTTTCTCGGGTTATTTCAGTTGTCAAGGGACAGTTGCACAGCTCCTGCTGCCAGCCTCCCTAGAACATTTGCAGTGCAAATGGAGATTGCTTCTGTCTCCAATACATGCTGCTGCCTTTCCTCTCTTTTCCTCCCAGTCCCATTACCAGGTCACCAGATACTTTTCTATTCCCTTCTCAGCCAATGTTTTGATCTACATTTGGAAAGGGAGAGGAAAGAGGCTGTACAAAACAAGGGAGCAAATATTTATGTTTACGGGAAAAGAATCTGTTTCGAGGACAGGAGCGACAGAGCACGGAGGCCGGGTCTCCATTCATCTGCCTGAGCTCTTTTCCTTTTGGATTCTTTATTTTACCCACGATGTGGAGAGCAATGCCTGCTCTGCAAGCTGGAGTTGGCTGAGTAGCTTTCTTGGCTGAGCAAACTCCAGTTCCTCTGGGAAAGGTTAATTTTAGGTCTTCCAGTTTGTTCCCTAAATTCATTTAGGCATTATTACTAATGTTTTGATTCAGCAGTTGAATTCTCTTGATGTACTGGGCTGTAAACTGTTAATAGAAACTTGATTGGTTTTCTTTTGAGACGTCTACAAAACAGCCATATGAACGTTGTCAGTTTAGCTTTTTCCAAAAGTAGTGGCTTTTAATTTTGCTCTAAATAATCGTGTTTTTAATTTTTACATATGAACATTTATGTACACATCTCCAGTTTTTCAAAAATAAAACCTGTTACAAGTAAATATTAATGGCCCGCCCTGAAAACAACACAACCTGTGTTCCAACAGTTAAGCTGGGTTTTGTTTGAAGTATCATCATCACTAAAATTTTCCAGGCTAAACTAAGCCCAGAGAGTCTGCAGCTAGGTAGTTGCCTTTAGTGGGGTTTTTATACATGTAACTTAAAGGATCTTGGCAAATAATAGAGCTTATACAGATATAAGAATAGCATACAGCTCTTTTTATCACTGCTTGGTATACATAATTCTGACCTAAGAACATTCTGTTTTTATCTAATTCTTTTTTAGAACACAAATGTACTAAAGTATGGTTTTGGGGGAGATGTGAATTAGTTTTACTGGATTTTGACTTGGGTTTACATGATGGCTTATCAAAACAAAGCTTTTGTATTCTGGTACAAAAAATGACACTTTAAAATGAGACTGCCCACCCTTAACATGGTTGTAGAGGTGCATTTGTATTTATGTAGCTTATCCCCGTAAACGTATAACACTGCAGTAACTGTACATAAATCCACCTGAAGGATCACAGTCACATTAAGCCATATTGAAGATGCATTTCTTATTTTATTTGGGAATTGTTTATTTGTGAGAGGATTTTTCAATTTAGGAGGATGACCCCTTTTTCTTTGCTTGGGGGAGAGAGTCTTAAAACTCTTGTTGTAATCTGGGTATATGGTATGGAAAAACAAAGGGATTAGAAGCAAATTGAATTAACGGTCAAAGTGAAAGCTTGCAGTTGCATTAAATTATCTCCCATGGAACAGGGGTTTGTAGGGTTTTTGCGGGTGTTTCACATATTTAAAAGAAACATTTTTTAAAGGTTATAAATGGAAGGTATTCTCAAATTATTTGTCATTATTTGGAATATGTTGAATCAGCCAGCCATAGCATCTTAATGTTGCGAATTATTGTTCAGGGTCAGTAGTTTACGTGGAAAATAGATACCATTACGATGTGCTTGAAATAGAAAACTCATTTAATTGGCACTTTTAACTTTTTAAATGTCATTTACTATGTTGGCCCACTAACTTCTGACAATTGGATACAGGGAATACAGATTACTCTGCATCTTTCATTGATGCTGCGTGAAGTGAGACATGAAATTGAGGTTATTTGCCAAGGTGGCTTTTGTTTCATTTCCTTTACTTAAATATCTTGGAAAGGAATGTCTTACTTGGGGGATTTAATTAATACAGTCCTTGATTTTTTTTTTTTTTTCAGTTGAGAGCTTCCTTCCCTCAAGTTCTAGACAGATGATGTTAAAAGAAAAAGAAACCTCATGGTTTAGAAGCAGAAGGAATGCTTGTGTGCTGAGGTAGTGATATTTGAAGAGGACAGTTAAGCATCCTTTGTTTCTGTTCATCTCACAAATACCTGACCAAACCAATGCTATATGCTGTGAGGAGGATGAGAAACTAAACTAGTTCAAGGGTGTTCAACCTCTGGCCTGCAGAGGCATAGCATTCATCCCATGGGGGTCCCCATGGATCTGGAAATTTGGTGGCAGGTGGCATTACTGTCACCCTCCCCTGCTGCCAAATTCCCAAGTCCCCCCTGTGACTGACTTGGAGCTGGGCCATGGTTCCCTCCTCACCAGTGCGGCTGGTTTAGGGCTGGGCCATGCCCCTTCACCTCCCCTTCCTCCCTGCACTGCCAGTTTAGGGCCGGGCCATTCACTCTCACCCACCATGGGGCCAGGTTGGAGCCAAGCTGCATCTCCTTCCTCCTGAGGCTGGTTCTGGGCTGAGCCATGCCCCTTTTGTCGTGTCCCTCCCCACCCCCCCAACGGGGCCAGGTTGGGGCGGAGGCACACCCTCTTCTCCCTATTCCACTGGATTGGGGCCGGGTTGCTTCTGCCCCTTTCTGGGAGCTGAAATGGGAAGACTGGATGGACTGGGCACTGCCCATCTGGCCTGCTAGAGAAAAAGGTTGGGCCCCCCCTGAACTAGTTTGATGTAGCCAGTGGAAGTCGGAGAATAGTGATCATCTGAGTTGCAGAAGAAAGGAAAGGAAATAAATGGGAGAAATTTGTAGTTCTTTCTAATGTAATTTTTATATGAGAAACATGCTCTGGCTTCAGCTGTGAGGGAGAGGACACCTTTTAAGTTCTAGTCAGGGCAGCCACACATACTCCTCCGATTACTTGGGCAGTAGTTGGCTTAACACAAGGTAGTTGAATGTTCTACCCATACTTGATGATAGAATGGATAATGAGTTTTTAGTCTGGCCTTCCGAAAGGGAGTAAAAGTTTTGTGTCTGTCTAATCGGGTAGCATTTTAAGTTTTGATAAATGAAATAGGTAGCAATTTTCTACTATTTCCCAGCTAGAAAGTCTAATGTAGGCAGTCCTCAGACTTAGGACACAATTGGTTCCTGAAAACAGCGTCTTAAGTTGAAACATTGTAACTCGGAACCGATTTTTCTCATAGGAAAAATGTTTTAAATGGGGGATTGGTTCCTAAACCAAGGCCCAATACCCTGTTTTCACCAAAAATAATCCAGAATTTTGTACTCAATTAATTATAGATAAGTAATATAGCTACATTAACATATTTATGTTGTAAATAGCAATCATATTGATTTGGAAGGACTTCTTTGAGGTGACTTTGCTGGACTTTTTGAAGGGCTCTTGGTTGGACTTTTTGAAGGGTTCTTGGCTGGATTCTTCTCAGGCGTCTTGTCTGCAGGTTTTTCTGGAGTCTTGTCTGCTTTCTTAAAGAAAGTGTCCAAGGAAGTTTGGATATATGTTCTCCAGGGAGATGGGTGACACAGCGACTTGTTCGCTGTCATGGCGTCACATCAGATCAAGTGTTGTGAAGTCGAAACTGGCATCAGAAAGTTGGAACAGGGTGTCAATTTAGAAGCATTGCAACTCTAAGCGTTGTAAGTTGAGGACTGCCTGTAGTTATAAGCGGTAGAAAAAAACAGTTAGATCATCTTTCTACCCTTTCAAATAAATACTTGCTGCCTATGTTATATTCTTGAGTTCTTAATCAGTGTCCTTTTTAAATGAGTTGGACAGCATTTTACAGTTCAAACGTATCTCACTGTTCAGAAGCTTTCCCCAGATGCATATTTTTCCGTTCTGCTAAGGGTGTTGCTTTTGTTTGTCATTAAATGTGTTATGCTCTAGTTGTAAGCTTTTCTATTTTAGCAGTAGGAATCAAGTTTTGCCGGATCACGTTCCTTTCATGAGCTATATACTGGAACTTGGGAGAGATCTGCTCCTGTTGAAAGAACCCGAGATAAATAGTTGGGAGGGGTGAGGGTGGAGAAATTTGGATCCGACTCGTACACACAGAGAAAAGGATAGGAGCAGTGATGTCTGGGAAAGCTGCATGGCCTCAAATCCCAACCCTTTGCAATCTTTTGCAACACATTTCTTTTACTGTGACACAGGGATACAATCTTTAACTTCTTGATGCCAGTAGCTATTGCAGACCCCATTGCCACCAACTGTGTGTAAATCAAGAAAATGTAACTTTTGGTGTCAATAGAACAGAAATATAAAATGACGAATTGAATGAAAGCATGTGTAATTTTTCTTAACCTACACAAGAGTTGGATTGGAAACTTGATTTTTTTTTTTTTTTTTTTTTTTTAGTACAAAATTACAAGTCTAAAGTAATCCTACTAACTTTGAGGAAATTCAATGCGAAGATCTTGTAAGAGAAGTAAACTGTGATGTCAGGAGCTGAAAATCATTGTGGTCTGAAATAAGTTAGAGTTTGTTAGTAAGGGTTAGTAGGGGAAACATGAAGACGCCCAAGAAATGCAAAAGAGAAGCTTTTCCTTTTTTTTTAATTACTGAAAATCTTTTGTTTAAATTAAGTATCTTTCAGTTTATAGCAGGTTACTGGCTTGCATGATACATGCCAATAATGAGCGAATTAGCTTAAACACTCATTGACCAATGATAACGATTTTGCTTGTAGTATGAAGGCAGGTAGTAATGTACATTGTTGAAACAATGCTATTTTTGTTTATTCAAAGAATGGTGAATCCCAGAGTATCTTGTGCTATAGAAGATAAATAACTATTTACGTTTTGATCAGATAGACTCCAAATGAATCTCTATTCAATTTTTAACTTCTGAATTTGGTTGAGAAGATGGAAATTTATGTAAGCACTACTGATGTGGATGAGATTTTTTTTTAATTTTGTATTGATATTCAGAATATTAACAACCAGAATAATTTGGGTTGGTATTAAATACTTAAACAAATACTGTGATATTTGTCACTTTTTATTAAAGTCCAAGGCGACAGGGTGGCAGTTTGAGCAAGATATTAAATCCTCTTTAAAGAATTGTTACAGCAGCAAGAGATGGTCTTCCCTTCAGATCTGGTTATTTGCCACTGGGCGGTGCTGTTACCTTAGGAATAAGGGAAATATACAAGCATTTGGTTTTTCCCCCTTCACTGGAGACAGCTCAATAAAATAGAGGCTGAAGAATAAAGTTAATAATTTAACCTTTTGCTCTTTTCAAATGGGAAAGGTAAGTGGTTCCAAGTGATTTATGGTATTTATTCTATGGGTTTCTTTTCATAGAAGCTTCTTTCAAAATTAAAATTAGCAAAATGTAGCCTTAAGTACCCAGTAACAAGTTAATAGCCATTTTGAAATAGAATTGAGGTTTATTGATATAGCTTTCATGTTTTGAATCTGGGGTAATCTTGATTATTTTTTTAAATCTGAACAGTATTTTTTTTTTAATTTTCTCAGTTGGAATGGGTGTGAGCCCTTGATGGTGATGGTTAAATATAGAATGAGTCAAGAATTCACATGAGGCATTGTTTAAATAATTTAAAATTATTTTATGTGCTTGTTTTCTAGGTGTTCATTGTACACATGGTTTCAATCGAACTGGTTTTCTGATCTGTGCCTTTTTGGTTGAGAAGTTGGATTGGAGGTAATTTTGTACATTTAATTAGTTTTTGGGCATACGAAGAGGGAGTTCATTGCTTATGCTTTTCTGTAATGTATATCATTTTCATGATTTGGTTACTGGTTCCTGTGTATTTCTGCCTTGTCTGCTTAAGGGTTTAATTTTTATAAAGAATGTTTTATTGTAATATTGAATCTACAAATGTAGACTTTTTTTCTTTAATATCTGACAAAATGTTGGTCTTATCTGTGTCTTTCTGTAGATGATGCCAGGAAAGTATTAGTTTTGAACAGGCCACATAGATTAACAATATTCCTATAAAAATCTCTTTAAGTTTTAGTCTGTTTCAGTTAAGTTTGAAGTATGTAGTCAAGTCTGCAGTGGTTAGCCTCTTTCAGATGTATTTAGGTTTTCATGCATGTATAAGTGTTGCATTCTCT